TCAAACTTGATGCCACTCTTGTTTAGCTTCTTTAGCATCTTGGCGGTCTTTTTCACCATGAGAGCAAGACTTTCTTTATCATCTTCATCACTTGAGCTCTCATACTCAAGTCTTGCCTTGCCCTTATCTTGGCTAGCTTTGAATGCTAAGTCCTTCTCTTTCTTCTTTGTAGAGGTTGAGCCATCTTGTGGCGTGATGTGCATGTACATCTCATGAGCATTGATCTTTCCCAAGATTTGTGTCGGTGTAGCAAGTGAAAGATCACCTTGATGTAGCACTTGTCACAATGTGCCCATATTTGTCAATGGGGAGGACACTCAAGATCTTTCTCACAACGTCGGATGGTGACATTTGAGTAAGTCCAAGCCCATTGACTTCCTCTACAAGAACATTTAAACGAGAATACATTTCATTAGCACTTTCTTTGGGAAGCATCTCAAAAGAATTTAGCTTTTTAATCACAAGATGATAGCGTTCCTCACGCTTACTCTTGGTTCTCTCATGGAGCGCACAAACGTCCGACCATAGAGCATGGGCGTCTTTGTGGTTCCTTACACGATTGAACACATCTTTGCAAAGGCCTCTAAAGATGGTGTTGCGAGCCTTTGCATTCCATTTTTCATAGTTTACTTCATCGCCTTGGAGTTGTGCGGCATTCTTAGGTGTTGGGAACCCTTGAGAGGCGGCTCTAAGAATTCCAACATCTAGAGCTTCTAGGTAAGCCTCCATGCGAATTTTCCAATAAGGAAAATCATCCCCCTCGAAGATAGGAGGAGGTCCATCCCCGTGAGACATCTTGCTCTAAGCGGTTAGGCTTAAACAACGTGAGCACGAGGCTCCGATACCAATTGAAAGGATCAAGATGCCCAAGAGGGGGGGTGAATTGGGCTAATTCTAAATTTTCTTGCAATAATCAAATCCTACGGGTAGCCCAATTAACCCCTTGTGCCTAGAAAAGTGTTTATATCAAACTAATGCACAACAACCTCGCAACCTATGTTCCAAACTTACTCTAGCAAGCAATTCTATGGATGTGAAACAAGTATTGAATTGCTCAAAGTAAATACTCAAAGTAAGTGCTCAAAGTAAATAGAGAGAGAAAGGAACGCGGTGATGTTTTGCCGAGGTATCGGAGAGTCGCCACTCCCCACTAGTCCTCGTTGGAGCACCCGCGCAAGGGTGTAGCTCCCCCTTGATCCGCGCAAGGATCAAGTGCTCTCTACGGGTTGATTCTTCGACACTCCGTCGCGGCGAATCACCCAAAACCGCTCACAAATTGAGTTGGGTCACCCACAAGCTCCGCCGGGTGATCACCAAGCTCCCAATCACCACCAAGCCGTCTAGGTGATGGCGATCACCAAGAGTAACAAGCACGAACTCTCACTTGACCACACGAAGCCTAATGAGAAGATGGATGCACACTTGTCTACTCTTGATTCAGTAATGAGGTTTCACTTTTGGATTCTCAAATCACAAACACCTCACTAGGATCTTGCTCTTCTTGGCACTCACAAACGTGTTTCTCAGCTGTTGGAATGAGCAAAAGTCACTTCACACACGAGTGGAGCTTCTATTTATAAGGCAGCCTGAAAAACGAACCGTTATGAGCTTCTGCGGGATGACCGGACGCTCCGATCATATTGACCGGACGCTCTGGTCGGGTTCAACCCGCGCAACAGCTTCAAGTGATGACCGGACGACGATGTGGTCCGGTTAAGACCGACGGACGCGTCCGGTCGATCTTGGATGCTTACTGTAAACGATCGGACGCTGGATACTCAGGGTCCGGTCACCACTGACCGGACGCGTCCGGTCGATCTTGGATGCTTACTGTAAACGATCGGACGCTGGATACTCAGGGTCCGGTCACCACTGACCGGACGCGTCCGGTCACACTTTCTCAAATCTGGACCCTTACTGGAGTCGACCGGACGCTGGCCCCCAGCGTCCGGTCACACGACCTTTCAGCATCCGGTCACTCCAGACTTGTTCTCCTCAGTCAAATGAACTGACCGGACCCTGCGGCCAGCGTCCGGTCGCACCGGAGCCAGCGTCCGGTCAATATTTGACCCTCCATTCACTTCCAACTTTCAATCATATGAGAATGAAGTTAGCTCCAAAGGATTTTAGGCATTCATAGGAGCTACCTGGAGCTAGTTTAAACAAGTGTGCACCACACCTAACTCACTAGACTCAACTAGGTCAAGCTACCCGTTCATACCCCCCTTCATAGAACGGCCAAAGGAAAAACAAAGTCCTAAACTACTCTAAGTGTCTCTCCAACTTCAATTGACACTTAGAACTAGTTATCCTTAACCTTGTCGTCCATCCTTTGAAAACCGAAACGATTTTCATCGTAGGGGCATGACAACCTCGATTGCCCAATCGATCTCTATTACCATGACCTAACTTAATTGCCTCTGCAAAACACACGTTAGTCATAGTAATTTTGTATTGACATTAATCACCGAAATCCACTTAGGGGCCTAGATGCTTTCACCTAGCATCATTGGCGGACCCAGAAACGGCGAACACATTTGCTAAGCAATTAAAGGTTAGAAAATAGTACTTGGCAAACTAAAAGACATAATACTAATAATAGATATAGTAAAGAGCACAAATAACGACATCCATTACAACAACATTGCATCGTTACTGGGTTTCGCAAAATTGTCATTAGGCCCAGAATTCATAGACTCAGACGGGTCCATGTGTCATTCAATCAGTGGCAATCATAATAAGGAGGCAACGTATTGAGTGGCAAATTTCCAATTATTTGCTTAACCAAAAGATCATATGCCCTACTGTACAAAATATTGCAATGCCATTTTTAGAAAATAACAATTGGCACTCATCAATCAAAATAGGATGCGTTGATGCAACGATAATAATCACTAAACAGTAAAAATTACTCACTGTCTGGCTGACTGTGCAGCAGCAGGAAGGGCGGAAGGGCTTGGCTGTTTGGGGGCTGGGCGCCTGGCGCCTGACGCCCTTGCCGGCTGGGCTGCTGCTATGGTTCAATTATGATGAAATTTTTATGATGGATTAATTATTATATGATTGAATCGTAGTAAATCTTTCATACTCATTGAATTGTAGGCCATGGCGACGCGGCCTGAAGACCTGCTGCCAGTTGAGATCCGCGAGGTGTGCGCAGCCATCCCCTAGGACGGGTTCGCCAAGATCCGCGACATCATCGATGACTACCCTTACGTCGCCATGGACGTGCAGCACCCCGGCATACATGGTGCACCGCCCTCTCCGTCCGGAGCTGCTGAGCAAGTCGCTGGCCGAGTACAACTACGCCACCACGGAGGCCAATGTCGATGTACTCAAGTTCATCCAGATTGGTCTCACCTTCTCCGACGAGCAGGCAACACAGCCGATGATTGAGCCGGACGACAGACGCCGCCCCTGCGCCTGGTAGTTCAACTTCTGAGGGTCGAGGGACCAACGTCGCGGATGCGGACCACATCGAGCTGCTCCGCCACAGTGGGATCGACTTCACCCGCCATAATGTCGTCAACCACTGAAAATTTTACTAAGCTATATATGATCCGAAATGTCGTCTACTACTAAAAATCCTATAATGTTCGCTCCCATAACGAATCGAACCTAGAAATTTAGGCCCCGTTCGGCTGACAAAATTTTGGCTGAAACTGGCTGAAAAACACTGTTCTGACTGAATTATTGTGAGAGAAAAACACTGTTCCGGCTAAAAAAAGAAGCCGAATAAGCCAAATATGGAGTAAACCGAACGGGGCCTTAAAATGCTACTGAGCCTCTCAAAACCATTAGGCTTACATGCTCTTTCATGCCTTTCACAACAATTACAAGATGCTTATATACCTTGCCTGAGCAGTATCTTTTAGCCCACACTCTACTGACCGCACAGCCCAACTAGGCCTGGCCATCGAGGAGGATGAGCCCGCGCCGCAACAGGTCACCACGCACCAGGTACCAGTGAATCAGTAATCCTACCCATCCGAATGTGGGGCCCGAGAACCGGTGGGGAGCAACCCCATGGTGCTGGCAGGGTTGTGACCGGGCATGAAAACAGTATGGATATTTTCCGACTGTATTTGAGATCGAATCTGTTTAGAAGAGTTCAGATCTGTCTGTATTCGAGTTCGGATATTTAACATTCGATATCGTATCCGTATTCGAATGCTCAAATCGCATATTTATGATGTCGATATCCAATTGTATCCTGACATAGTTGACACCATCCGTATTAGAATTCGAATCCGAACAAAAATATGAAAATAAATACAATGGTCCTGTTCACTTGTCTTATAATCCGTACTTTTCAGCTTGTTTTTTCAGCCAAAATAGTATTTCTTTCTCATACCAAATCAGTCAAAACAGTGTTTCGATTTATTTTTTCAACGAAATGAACGGGACCAATAGGTGATTTTCATCACTAGTTGTGACGCTGGGGTGGTTGCTGCAAAGCGAAGAGGGCTAACGGGGGCGGTGAGCTGGCGGCCCAAGCGCTCCGCCGCCGGCAAGCCATGCAAGTTTTGCTGTTCGGTCTTTTGAGTCTTTGGGCGTTAATTAATTTTTCAAGATACTCGATCCTTATCAAGGAAAAAAAATCATCTTTATTTTTTATGTATTTTTATCACGTGTACTCCGTCTATTCCTTAAAAAGAGTTATTTTTCGTTTTCCATAAAATCAACAACTTTTAATTTTAACTAAATATATTTAATAAAATATTACTACTTATGGTATATAATTAGTACATTTGATAGATCGTTGAATATATTTTTATAATAAATTTATTTAAAAATATAAATATTATATATATTTTTTATAAATATAGTTAAAATTAAGAAAGTTTCGTCAACACGTTTCGTGTAGCGACTTTTTTTTTATTTATTGACGGAGGGAGTTCACCCATATCTGGCGTTGACCCCGAGTTCTTCACTCCTCGACGGTCTACACCTTTCCTTGCTCCTTTTGCTCCCTTTCTCTCTCTCTAGGTCTCTCCCACATGGCGGAGGCTGCAGCTGCTGCTGCTTTTGCCAAGAACGCGGCTATTTTCATGGGGAAAACTGCAGCAGGGGCCGCGATCTCCTATCTTGTGAACAAGGCGCTGGGCCGCCTTTCGGCGGAGGAGGAAGACCTCCATCGAAGCCTCAAGGAGAAGCTGCCAGTTATCCAAGCAATCTTCGATGCTGGCGACCACGAGCTGGTTCGGGAGAGGCTGGGGGATTGGCTCTGGATTTTCCGCGATGCCATGCAGGAGGCTGAGGACGCGCTTGACGAGCTGGAGTTCTTGGATCTGGAGAAGGAGGTCAAAGATCGGAGACTCCGAGAAGCCAAAAACTGGAAGGTGAGTTTGTCCTCCCGGTTCTCCTTCTCCCGCATCGGCACGGGAGTTCGTCGCTCTGTTAGTGCTGCTACCACTGGTGGTACTCCGAAGCGTCTGAAGGATGCTCTGAAGGGATTACATTCAGTCCTTGAGAATGCAGGGGATTTCCTCTCTGTCATCATGAATGTTCGTAGTTCTTCCTCTGATATTCAAGATCTGGGCAATACACGCGAGACCACTAGAGAGTTAACGACAACTGTATTTGGTCGGCACAAGGAAAAAGGGGAACTACTTGAATGGTTGGGTGTTCATACTTCAGCTGACATTGTAGATCACAAGCTCTCGCTCTGTGCAATTGTTGGTGGTGGTGGCATGGGAAAGACAACACTTGCCCAGTCAATCTGCCAAGATAAGAATGTTCAGGATCATTTTGGTAACATGATTATATGGGTGCATGTTTCTAAGCGTTTTGATCCTAGAGCGTTGATGAGCAAGATCATGGAATCAATCAACCCGGACAAATCTCGGGCCATGGCTTTGGACTCCCTGCAATCAGATCTTATCAAGCAGTTGGTGACAAAAAGATTTTTTTTGGTCTTAGATGATGCATGGGAGGATGCCAACGGTATAAAGTGGAAGGAATTTTTAGGTCCGCTTAGAAATAATGCTGCGATGGGAGGTAGAATATTGCTCACAACCCGAATGAGATCAGTAGCTGAAGCTATTACGCTTCAAATGCAAGTTGAAGTTAAATGTTTGGAGCTGAGGGGTTTAGGTCACGAAGATACTCTGAAGCTCTTCAATCATCATGCCTTTGGTGATTCATATCCAAACGATCGTTTGGATCTTTTACGGATTGCTGAGCAGATTGTGGGAAAGCTTAAAGGTTGTCCTTTCATAGCAGAAGTACTTGGTCAACAACTAAGAGACAACACAGATCTTAGCAGATGGAACACGATCTTAAATCAGGATATCTACCAATATGATGAAATTGGGCCTGCGATCAAGGAGATGCTCAAAAGGAGCTACCAAAATCTGAGTTATGAACTACAGCTTTGCTTTCGGTACTGTAGCATGTTTCCTCCTGGCTTTAAGTTCAAGATGGAAGAGTTAACTGAGATGTGGGTGGGTTCAGGGTTGATACTACAACAAGAGAATGCCATAAAGAACCAGGAAGATACTGCTAGGGAGCATTTCTGTAATCTGGCACGGAAATCGTTCTTTTCATTGGTACCAAGAGAACTGCTTGCAGATCCTTCTGAAGATTACTATGTCATGCATGATTTGATGTATGACTTAGCATGTACTGTTTCTAGTGAGGAATGTTTAAGATTTACAGATGGTGGCCACAGTGCTGACATACATTGTGTCCCTAAACTGCGTCACTTGTACATTCAAAGCTTAAATTCGGAAATTATAACAATTATTTCCCAGTCCAAGAACCTGCGTACTCTGATCATAGAGAATGGGGCAAACTCTGTACAAAAAGAACTTGCACATGATCTTAAGAAAGCTATAAAAGGCAGAACAAGCTTGCGGCTCTTAAAGTTAGATGGACATGGCTTGATTGGCTTGAATGATGCTGCCACTGAATTGAAGCACCTAAGGTACATATATATGTCAGCTATTGATGAACCTAATCTGTGTAAACTGCTTAAGCTCTATCACCTGCAAGTCCTTCGAATTACAAAGATAGATGAAGAGGATAAGGTGAAGTCCATCGACATTGGTTACCTACCTTGTGTGCAGAAACTATACCTTCCTAAAAATACATTGTCCAGGATCCCCACATTGGGAGGTTGACTACACTTCGTGAGCTGAATGGGTTCAGCGTATGAAAAAAGATGGCCACAGAATAACTGAGCTGCAGGATTTAGGGAAGCTACGGAAAATCATTGTGCTTGATGTCCAAAATGTTAGCAATTTTAATGAAGCTTATGCTGTTAGATTGGATAATAAGACCGCTCTGAAGGTATTGTCTTTGGGATGGTCTGATGATAATGCTAGAGATGATGTTCAAATCCTCACCAAGCTTGTTCCCCACAGGAGTCTCAAGAATTTAATTATTTCTGGATATATTGGCATTAAACCACCAATTTGGATGGAACCCAGCTACCTCACCAATTTGGTATATCTCAAGCTTGATGGCTGTGTGCAATGGCATGAACTCCCACTGCTTGGCACCCTACGGTCACTAAAGCATGTCTTTCTGGTGCATCTTACAAAGTTGAAGTGTATTGCCAGTTTATCCAATGGTTCTGGCGGATTGCCGCCTCATCTAGTTACATTTGATGTGAAATATTGCCCAGACCTTTCAGAGCTACCTGTGCTACCTTTCAGTCTAAAGTTTTTGGGTGTAGAAGCAGTTGGAATCTCAAGTCTGCCTACCACTATGTCTGATCTCGAGAGATTAATAGAGCCACGGCTTTCTGTGCTGCAAATAGAATCCTGTGAATTTTTGGCTTCCCTTGATGGTTCTTTCCTACAAGAGGAACATTACAACGCTCTCTCAGTTTTAAAACTTTTTCGATGCCATAAATTGAGCTCACTTCCTGATGCAGCACATTTTCAAAGAATGTGTGTACTGGAGAGTGTTGAAATAGTTGACTGCGATATTTTAGCATCCTTGGGTGGGCTAGTAGCCCTTTCTCATCTTAAACTATTGAAAATAGAGCGTTGTGGTAATCTGCTCAATACTTCATCGTCAAGGCTTCCTCAGTCACAAGACGAAAGTTTGTCTCTGGAGCTTGAAACACTTGCAATTGATGACCATCTGCTACTTGTTTTGACTCCATTGAGGAATTTGTGCTGCACTAGGAGGCTTATCATATCAGGCGAATCTATAACGAATTTGTTGCCAGAGGATTGGTTGTTGCAGAATGGATTGCACCTGGAGCATATACAAATAAGCAATGCTGAACACTTGCAGTCTCTTCCGCTGAAAATGCATGATTTGCACGCCCTTCGGAGTTTGCTTCTTCATAAGGCTCCCCTCCTTCAGTCACTCCCTTTAATGCCTCCTCAGCTGTGGGCCCTTATCATTACTGGTTGCTGCACAGAGTTAAATGAGCAATGTCTTGCCGGTGGCTCAGAGTGGGCGAAGATAAGTCATATCTACCGTTGTAACATATCGAATGGAAGATGATAGGTATGCAATGTTTTGGTGCTATCCCCTTTTACTGATATGTTTATCGTTTCACTGATCATTCAAGAGCCTAACATCTAACATTCTGTGAACAATTTCAGACATTGAATTTAACTGTAACTCTGAGCGAAGTTCCTCTTAGATCGCCACGAGATTTTCTTATATGTTGCGATAACATCTTGTCACGGATTGGGCTGCCAAGTGGACCTGTCATGGACCTGGCTACCAAATGGGCTTGTGTCAGTGAAATGTACTGTGCTACCAAAAGATCAAAGAGTGCCAAGCAGAAGGGCCGAACAGAAGAGAACTCCTGAACTCATCTTCCTCCTCATTTCCAGGACTCTATCCCTACCCACCTCTAGTTCTTACTGTTCCTGTCTACTAAGGCCCTGTTTGTTTTGCTGAAAAGTCATGGCTGAAAGTACTGTTCGCTGATTTGTTGTGAGAGAAAAACATTATTCGTTTGCTGAAATAATATGGCTCATAAGACAGGCGAACAGGGCCTAATTCTCTTCTCCGATCCCTCTCTAATTGTATCTTGAATTGAGTAAATTGTTATTATCAAGTATTCCTGTCTGGATATTAAGGTCTGTGACAATTGGTATCAAGAGTCTCAAATCCACCACAAATCTAGCCCCAAATTTTCCCCAAATCGATTGGGCCATGGTCCTGGTGGCTCATCTCTCCACGTCGATGATAAGGATGGAGGGGATATTGCGTCAAATAAACGACATCTTGGACCGCTTCAATCTTGTTTCTTCGGCGTCCCTGCGTCAAGCACTGTATCGGCGTCCTACCAGACCCTGTACCAGTTCGCCACCACCTCTGTTTCTGTCAATGCAGACCGATCATGAGGAGAAAATTGTATATTTGGGACCGGTAATCCTAGCGTCCGGACGCCGCGCAACGTTGCTCACTTCCTAAACTCGCCCGCTCCACCTTGGGAATAGAACATAACCCGTCCGCCCCTGCGTCACCCTGTTCCCCCCTCCCCCCACCCACCACGCCCCCTGGTCCAAGAGCACGAAAACATTTCAAGTGCAACATCGCAAACGTATGGAAAAACTATGTAATGCAACATCGGAATATAAATACTGCAACACTGTAAAAATATGTAGTGCAGCATCGAAAAACATGTACTGCAACATTAAAAATTATATGCTGCAACATCAAAAACGTGTACTGCAATATCAAAAAACACATAATGCAACATCGGAAAATATGTACTGCACTATAAAAAAATTATGTGTTGCACACATTGAAAAATATGTACTGCAACATCAAAAATTATGTGCTGCAACATCGGAAAATATGTACTGCAACATCGCAAAATCAACCATGAAACATGGAAAATGGAACCATTTGGAAAACATCTGTTGCAATAACCCAAAAATCTCATTGCAACATTTAAAAAATCATCTGTCGCAGCATCAAAAAAAACTCATTGCAACACAGAGGAAACAACAAAGGGCGTACGAAGAGCAACCTGCTCCAGCCTAGGCCCGTCACCTCCGAGCTCGCCGGAGGGAGGAGGGAAGGACCCCAGAGCTCGCTAGAACCCTAGCCACCTCCGCGTCTCTCAGATCCAGAGGAGGAGGAGGAGGACGGCTCAGATCTAGAGAAGGACCGACCTAAGCTATCTTGTCGGAGCCGCTGTCGTCGTCCTCGTCTCCGGTGGGGGACACGGGAGCTGGGTCGCTAGGGAGCGCAGGGTCGCATGGAGCTCGCAAAAGGGGGAGGGACGGAGGCAGGGAGGGAGGGAGCACAGGCGAGTGGGGGCGGCAGCGAGCTTGCGCACGGGCACGAGAGCTGGTGTGGGGATGGGGGAGCGAGCGACAGAGTGGGGATGAGGATGAGGGAGAGCATCGCGGGAGCAGATGAGGGCGGTTGTGTTGCAGGAGAGCGTTCCGTGTGCGGCGGGTCCGTTCGGACGGGATGGATGCCCGCTCTATATCATTATCGATCTGGGACTCCAATCGTCGCACTTCGTAGTTTTGGGACTCCAATCGTCGACTTCGTAAAAATAGGCCTCCAAACATTGGACTCTTGATTTTCAAGACATTATGTGTATTTATATCATTTCTATTATATATACCTGTATTTGGCACCTGAATGGACCCTTTTGCCCTTTCGTCTTTTCCTTTGTCCTTAGATAAAAAAGATTGATACCGACGTTATGTTTCCACATTCGTTGCTGCCGCCATTAGAGAGATCCTGATGTCGCTCGCTTGCCCTAGATGGACGCATCGGAGATCATGGAGCCCGATGGCCAGCCACCCGACCTGGCCGTGGCCGCCAACAGCCTGGGCGCACTTCTCGCCCAGGGTATGGCCGCATCGCCCGACCTTGGCTTGGTCGCGCTGGCTAAAGTCCTGGCCACGGTCGTCTAGGGCCTGGTCGCGACGATTGGAGGCCTAGCCACGCTGCCTGGAGGCCTGGCCACGCCGGCCATGGACAGGCAGGTCGCTATGTCCACTGCGATTGCCCTGACGAGGTCATTGCTGCCCACTGCTCCTCCAGCACTAGAGTACAATCTTCCTGTAGTGCAAAGGTGATGTTCTTGATTATTTGTGTTATTGTTTGTACACGGTACTCACAGTCATACTGATAGTGATAGTTGTGTCGTTAATTATTTTTGTTAGGTCCGAACTAGAGCCTATGGAAAATATATAGCAGTAGAGTTTAGAGGCATATTATGAAGTTAAATCAAATGACTTGTACTTGTCTTGAATGGCAGCACACTGGTAAGCCATGTCAACATGTATTGACCTTTGTAACCAGGCAGCAGGGAGTTGACCTGAACAATTTGTGCATGAGTACTACTCGGTGAATAGGTTCAAGGCTGCTTATGGTAGAGAGATTGAGCAACTAACAGACAAAACGCAATGGCCACAAGTGGAACTACCATTTGTTGTTGGTGTACCTTTACCTAAAGGTGAAGTAGGAAGACGAAGGAAACTTAGTGAAATGATCCCGATTTTCCATGAAGGGAAAATCCACATATACGAATTATAATGTGATAGTCCAGGAGATCAAGCTATCAAATTATCAAATAACAGTTGATACCACAGTTCATACATCGCGGAATTACAAGATTACAAGGCATTACAACACTGGGTAACACACCTAAGTACAACATTATTCTAGCGGAAATGCACACATGGTTTCATTAGAGTAGACGTAGCGCGTCGACGGATGAAGGTTCCTCCTTCATGGACTATCATCAGGGTAGATGTAGAGCGTCGACGGGTGAAGGCTCCTCCTTCATGGACAATCTTCAGAGTAGGCGTAGAACATCAGCGGGCGTAGACTTCATCTCCTCAACCAAACTTGAGTGTGGGCACGAGACCATCTAATCTTTCTAATCTCCGTCATCGCCGTCGTAGATGACATCCAATACCTGCCAAATATCTTTTAGTACGATTTGTACTGGCCACTGGCTCCCACCCTATGCTTTGCATATGCTTTATGGTAAGTGGAATGCAAGGGTAGAGCAAAAGGCCTATATATGGCTATAGGTTTCCTATGCAAGTTCATCAATATTTTATAATAGTTCATAAAGTTTTAACCCATCTCATCCACATATTCACCCATCCCATCACACACATCTCACCACACTCTCACTCTCTAGGAGGCAAGGATGACTCCCTCTCGTACCTTGCCTTATCAGCTAACAGCTGAAGTCCAAGAAACCCAGGGGGAGAAGAAGAAAGGACACCTCTCTCTAGTCAAGTGAAGCAGTACCATAGGAAAGGTCCATAGTCGTGGAAAAGATGACATATGTATCGATCGATCAACCATACACTCTACAGAGGTTTACACTACCCACAAGATTCACCATCATCGACGACCCGGCTCAGCTAGGCTGATTCCGGCTACTTTCTAGTTTGTAACGATACCATCCTGCCAGTCAGCCCTAAGGCACCCCGAATTTCTCTAGCATGCTGAGACCGTGAAACGTAAATACCGGGCCCCACAAGTGGTAATACGCACCTAGAGGGGTTCTAGATTCAACATCCTCACCCCCCACACTCACTGTCAACTTACAACCTAGCAGTAATGGCATCGCCCAGATTAGTCCACAACCGTCTCCTCCCTAGAGAGGAGCGAATGGGGTGCAAGGATTCCTATGAACCGGTTCTCAGAACATATAAGTCCTTAGGGTGACCGAACACGACATCTTCACAAAGGGGTTTCGACACCCCGTGCTTCAATAGCACCTCTACTCTAGGGATTTGTCCCACGAAGAACACTCCTCCCTAGAGTCTATACCTCAAACCGGTACTCGCCACAGGTACAACTCTCAAGGAGCGCTCAGGTCACACTCCGGCAAGACTCGCTCAATAGCTCATCGTAGATCCTGCTCGGTTGACTCAACCCTCACCACACACCCAAGACATACGCCAAGATCTCCCCAAGTTGTCATCACATTATTACCATATTATCGGCACCAAGTGCCTTAGCCACTCATAAACAATCCTCCACCAAGCATCACATCAAAGATATAATGCGTAGTAGAAGCAAGTAGTAAGTAGTAAGCGAGCGTCTATCCTATTAGCGAGTGTGCATGGGTAAAGGTTGCATCAAGGTAATGGCTTTCAAGCAATTCTACCATGCAACCTATCACATATTATTTGCATAAAAGTAGAGCACTAGCAGCTACATTGTTGCATGTCTAATAGGATTCTATGAGGTTGGATGGGATGTGGCACCTATTAACTGGTCATCTCTAAGATCATCATTGTACTCGTAGTCGTTCTCCTCCAAGTCCTGTTGTTGTCCGCGTCTTCTCACTCCGATGGGTCCCGGTCTAGTCAACGCTATCCTCGATGCAACTACATCAATAGAGAGACAAACAAGGCAATAAGCAATCAATACTCTAAAAAGGTGACAAGACACGGAAAAGCAAAGAACACCAAAAGAACACCAAAGGAAAAGGCTTAGCCCTCACAGCGGATGTCCGATCCTTGGGCCGAAAAGAGGCAGAAGTGGTTACTTGC